CTGAGGCTCATTGATAGTTTGTTTAAAACAATGAATCTTCCTCTAGGAATTGATCTCACACTTTGTGGTTTTGAGTTCATCAGTGCATCGACGGGTCGGTTATTGGTCTAGGAATTGGTTTGTAATAGTAGATCAGTGAGGTTGTATTCCGGTTAGGAGTATCGCAATGTTCGTTATCTCGGCTTGTGTGGTTTGAATGAGATTACACTGGGAGGTTGACGTCGTCCTTTCTACGAAATTGTACTGAACACAGTAGTAAGAAGGTAGGGCTGTGTCGATGGTGGTCGATTCTGCTCGCTTTTGTGTGGTCTCATTGTTTAGGTGAAATTGACTAGGGTATCGGTTTGGCCCTCGTGGCGAGTCTGGAAGAGTCTAGAGTCCCTATGTAGCAGAGGTTTGGAATGTGAACAATTTGGAGCTTTGCTCTGATTGATGTGCTCGGTTGTTGTCAGTGCTAGAGTCATCAACAGCACGGTTGTGACCACTCGTAACTCTAGCCATCAACTATGATCTTCACAGTTCAACAACGTGTGCTAATTCCTAACACAAACTGTCGTCGAGGTAGATTGTGTTGCTGTCAGATTTGTGCTGCTTACGCAAGAAACTCTTGTGTACTACCTTAAACTGATTCTCGTGCAAAAAATTGATACCAATATCTCTGCATTTATAAGTCGTCAAATAGTTGGTATCACAAGCATGAGGAACCACGAAGAAATGTATGCGCTCTGAGGAATCTACTGGAAGACCGTTGAAAGAGGGCTTAGTACAACGAAAAGAAGAGGATAAGTATCGATAGTTTTGAGGGAACTAACGGATACCGAACCACTGTTTTACGGTATTGTCTGTGGTGTGGGCTGTTAAGATAGCTAAGGCGGGATGAGCCGAGCAGTAGGGGGACAGAATCTTGTAAAATGTTTGTGTCGACGCTGTGCTAGCACCAGGATACAGTCCGCTAGACCCAGCACTCGATCATTGTAGTTCTTATAACGTACCACAACTTGTGTATATTGTGAGAGTCTCACTGGTGGTATTAATCGTGCGACTATCAGTGTGTTTGTTTGAGTATCTTTTATTGTTTATGGAGCTGTGTGGGGATCGGTCATTGGCGCTTTTGCATTTTCTTCCACTCAGATTTTAATTGCCGAAAGCTCATTGTAAAGATGTCCGTCAAGACTGCGCAGGCTGTTGGTCAACCAGGGCTTCCTATAACTGAAAGTGATTCGGTTGTAGTCGAAGAGAAGGTAGCGCCCTCGAAGTGGGACAAGGTCCCAGGAGGAAGCGTTATCAGGAAGTTCCTCGACTGGCAAAGGAAGAGTTGGCCTGGTATCAACATCCCCATATTACTCTTGTTGATTATCATCGTCTTGGCTCTGTGGTGGGTTCACCCAAATGACCTGAGTCCACATACATGGCAAGTGTTCGTCACCTTCTTGGTCACTATTATTGGCGCTGTTACGGAGCCTATTCCCATGTCTGGTATTTGCTTGGTGTCATTGGGTTTCTGTACATTAACTAATATCTTGACGACTGCGCAGATTCTATCCGGTTTTGGTAACGATACCGTATGGCTAATTGTCTTTGCATGCTTCATTGCAAGCGGTTTCGTTACTACCGGCTTAGGCAAGCGGTTATGTTTTATTATTTTAAAGTATATCGGCTCTACCACTCTTGGACTTGCTTATGCTTTCTGTATCTGCGAGTTCATATTGGCCACGGCAATTCCTTCCTCCACTGCTAGAGGTGCGGGTATTTTGCTACCAATTTTGGAGCCTTTGCTGAAGGAAGGCTTCCAATCCGACCCGGCTCTAGGTACTGAGAAGTCCATCGGCACGTACATGATCATGGTTGAGATTGTTGCAAATACAACCTCATCTGTATGCTGGTTGACTGGTGGTGCTTGGAATGCTATGATGGCTAACTTCATGGAAGCTGTCGGTGTGAAGATTAATTGGGGGCAGTGGGCGTATAGCATGGCACCTGTTGGTCTCTTGCCATTGATCTATGCACCTATTATCCTGTTCTTCCTCTTCCCTCCTCAAATCAAGAAGACTCCTCAGGCTAAAACGTTGGCTAATGATAAGTTGGCAGAGATGGGAGGCGTCAGTGTTTTCGAGTGTGTCATGCTTGGTGTGTTTGCATTGATCATTATCCTCTGGATCGTTTCTTCCTCGGTTGACTTTGTACCTTATACGACTACCGGTGTGGCTATGCTCGGTCTGAGTGTCTTGCTAATGACTGGCATTCTTGATGTGAAGAGAGATATTGTGAATAACAGTGGAGCTTGGGATTTGTTCCTTTGGTTCGGTGTGTTGCTGATGTTGGCTACTGAGTTGAAGGAAACTGGCTTCTTTGAGTGGTTTGCCGAAAAGATCGACTTGTCAAGTGTGGCGGCTTACGGCAGTGTATGGATTTGCACGGCTATTTTCTATGTGTCCCAGTATCTGTTTGCAAGTATTACTGCACATGTCTCTGCCATGTTCCCAGTGTTCCTGCAGATCATGCAGGCCGCTGGTGTTCCGATGGAGCTTGGTTGCAGAGCGCTTGCGTATACAACTCTATCTGGGCATTTAACTCACTACACCAGCTCTACCAATCCACCTTTCTTCAACTTGGGATACGTCCCGTTGAGGCTATGGTGGTTCCAGGGTGTCATCGTGATGGTTGTGAATCTGATTGTTATGAACACGGTGTGCTGGGGTTATTGGTGGTTGCTTGGTTTCTGGTAAGCAGTTAGACAAGTTCGTTCATCAAGGCGTTTGGTGATGAATTCGCCTAAGTATTATAAAGAAATATCTATCTACTGCTATCCAATAACAAGCTAATGCTATTCGGCTGTATAAGCTCTTCTGTTATTAATGTTTGATGGCTACCTATACTGTAAATCTTCATCGTTTATCTCCTGTTAAAACTCTTCAATCGGTGATGTTACCGATTCGAAGCAATTGTTGTCTGTTACGTACGATAGACCGATCTCATTGTCGCTCATGCGCAAGTACTATGTAAAGATCGTGATCTTCCCAAAATATTAAACGTCATTGTTCGTAGTCGTTAGAAATGCGACTATGTTATCGTTCCTGCCTTTCATAGATTGATGATAAGACACTTTCAAGTTTTCACATATGCAGCAGTTGTGTTGATGAAGTTCTATAGTTATGTGAATACAGTAGGCGTATATCAGTTTGACGCACTGAGCTTGTGGTCCATGTGATCGATGATTCACGGTTGGGAAATACGGTCGTTCACCCGGGTATTAGGTTCAATCATGATATCATTTACCTGGTTATACCGCTCTCGAGAAACTTCATGAGTGAAAAAATTATAAGATTTAAATATCGGAGAATACATAATTCCTCGATCGTCGATATTGGTTGTTTTATACACTTTTTCAATCACATTTGATTCCCATGGGCTAAATGAGTTTTCAGCCGAAGAAAATTCCTGTCACTCTATGGAAATCAACTTTCACTATTCAATTTGTTCTTTCATTCGCTGAATTTGAGATTGAAAATGTGTAGAGTTCCCAGCCTGTTGCGTTGCGAACCCTGGACACCAGCGGGTCGAAGACGCCTAAGCATACTTTTCGGGCTCTGAAAGTTCCCCTCACTGTGTAGTGTACAGATACCGCCTACCATTCTTTTGTCTGTTTTCCCGCGGGATCTGTCAATCAGACTGCTTGAGGTTGAAAATAGAACAACACATGGTTTGTATAGTTTAGTACGTCAGTGTTCTTATATTCTATAAGAAATATAAGTAAAATATGCATATAATCCTCACTGCCGGAGCGTAACACGTCTGAAGCGTGCCGCCCATTAATACGACAGATGCAAGGTAGGCTTGAGTATTTCTGAGATCTTTTCGGTCGGGCGCGCGCTAAATTATTGGCGCAGAGTGAGCCAATGACGACATGATGTGGGGGAAAATTCTAGAGGGTTCGATCGTAATACCAATTTGACGGAACCGAACTTGGTGTGGTTTATGACGTTTTGTGCAGTTGTTGTTCCTTTCTACTTGTGAATGTGTTGGAGTTTCCCCTAGTGATATGAAAAACACTGATGAAAAACATATTTCACGACTACTGCATAGCGCGAATATCGCGTTTTACACCGAGTTTTACGTCACTTCGCGTAAAACGGGTGAAACAGCATTGTTTTGATTTTATCGATTATTACCTCGGCAAAATTCAACAAGACTCTCACATTGAGTAGCTGTTGAGCTGTCCCTGGCCTCACTTCATGCGTTTAGTCTACATCTCTTCTATGGTTGATCATTTTCTTACTGTTACTGTTGGCTCTGCTACTGGTGGTAGCCCTTTACAGCTAAGACTCGTATTGGTCCATAGTAGAGGAATTGTGTTATTATGGGAAGGGATGAATCAGTGCGAGACGCCTGGGCTGGCCTGAGCTTTTACGGAAAAATTTTCCGTAAAAATATCAGCATTTTTGGTGTAATCGGATCGTCAATCATCACTGACGGTTTTTCTCGCGGGTTTTTTACCGAAAAATTGCATTTTTTTCATGAAACTTTGCCTGTATGATTTTCGCGAAGGGACTGTCGTGAGGGTTTCGGGTGAAAAGTCAACCGCTGCTCGTTGCTGTGTCCAGATCGCTTTCGTCGCAGTGATTCTTCCAGAATGTTCCCGAGTGAAACTCATTTTGAATTTCCTACACGGCTAGGAACACATTCTTTAATCAGTTTAACATCATCACATTATAAACATTTTTCCTGTTGTTATCAAATCCTGGGGAAGGTATTTTCTCAAACTTGGCTGAATTTCTGTTTCGTAGCTATGATTTTATTATGTCTACTCCCGACCCTCCTGAAAAACTAAGATGGGCTGTTCTCATCGTGGCCTGTCTAGCGCTCTCTGGCCAGTACTACGCCTATGATATTCCCTCCGCGATAAACGATCAACTGCAGGCCCGATTCACCAGTAGGTTGTTGTCAGAAGTGACGGCATCAGCTACTTTAGGTGGAGGGGGCGGTATGACTGTCGAGGAATATACCTACTACTTCAATCTCTTATATACGGTCTATGCCTTGCCCAATATGATAACACCATTAATACTGGGAGTCTCTATAGAGTGGATAGGGATGAGGTAACGAGCGTTTGGTATGCTGTTATGATGTGATGATGTGCTTCGGCACTTGAATGAATTTTGTGAAACTTGTACAACATTTCAGAGGTGATCAATGAATATTAAAGTAGCTGTGTGGAATAGTTCTTCAAAGTCCATGCAAAAACCTAAACTTTTTCAATGTCTCATGTAGTAGTAAGATTCCGAAGGCTCCCATTAAAGATGCAGTTCATCCCTGTAGGCCTTTCAGCATGTCAAGAAGCTCTGTTTAGGTCTATGCTCCTCCTACTGGCGGTACTGTTATTGCTCGGGCAAGTGCTACAATGTGTCGGTTCGTATTACCTTTCCATGAGGACTATGCTGTTAGGAAGGGTAATCTACGGACTAGGTGGGGAGAGCATGAATGTAAGGGGAACTCTCGGTGACCTTCCTCTTATACCTTTATCTTCAGGTGGCACAGACGACTCTTCTAGCAGGCTGGTTCCGAGGGCAGGAGATCGCCTTTGCATTGGGACTAAACCTCTCAGTTGCCCGATTTGGCTCGGTTCTCAACGATTTGCTGTCACCTGGTGTAGAGGCACGATATGGAGTAAGTGTTTGAGATGAACCTATCGCTATCTATGGATACACATGGTCAACTACATGTGTTGGTAAAATTATGGAAATTCTGGAAAAATTTTGAGGACTTATTGTTGGTTTTTGTACGCTTCTACCCAAAATCGTTTGTGGATTTCCATAATGTAGTGAGGAACCTTACGACCTCAGCTGAGGAAACCACACATATATTTCTACATTATGTTTCCTAGGTAACGGGAGCGTTCATAGCGGGGCTTATAGCGGTGACAAGTAAGCTGTTCTCGTAGTTATGGTGTCACCATCGGTGGACTTTTTTCAGGCACGGTTATTCTAACGTTAGTGTTGTGTTATTTCACGAAGCACATCGATGATGATATCACTAGTGAGGAAGCTCCCAGTCAGGGCTTTATAGAGAAGTAATGCTAGTGGTGGCTTGGAGCTCTCACATACCTTAACTTTGTTATTCGAAAGAATGTTTGTCAGTTTTCAACACGATTTTTCGGTTTTTCTACTGAGAAATGCGCAGTTATAACGGCTACTTATGGCGAAATATTGTCACCACTGTGTTGAAGTTCTTCCTTTTTTCTCAGTCTCCAATCGTCATTGTCATTATCGGTAGACTTCTGGTTGGTATGTCTCAGCTGCGTGCTGGCCTATGCGGTTATACTGCCTTTCAATAACATCGCCGCGGCATTTTTCGTCGAGGTGTGGTATCCAACCATGGATAAAGCGGCTGCCCATGTTAAAGTTGGACAGATCATGGGAGTAAGGATATAGAATTACTAACAGTTTTTCCTATACAGTTGTCATATTGTCGCCCTCAACAGTAGATAGTAAAATGATGTTAACCGTTTTTCACTATTATTGACGTCATGCCCCTCAAGAGTTATTGATGAACTCTCTCGATTGACCAAGGTGATTTGCATAACGGTTTTGTAGAGAGCATTCCTGTGTAATTCGAATGCAGTGCAGAACTGATCGCCCTTCTTTTCTGCTATGTTGTGATTCTGCTAGGGAATGAGCATTAGCACAACATAGTGATACTGTTTCGTACCGTATGGCGGTGCAACTCATACCGCTCTCGAGTGACCTTCAATGGCTCGTTATTATTATGATCATTTAGTTGGAGAATATTCGATCAGATACTTTTTGGGGTGTCAGCATTGGGCTCTCCTATCGCTGGTATATGCATAGACAAATTGGGTTACCGCCTCTATTTTCTTCTGGCTAGTTTTACTATGGCGACATTGGCACATATCATCCTGCCTATATTGCACCCGGTACGAGGCTTTATTCGTTCTAAGTTTAGTTGTTGTGTAGGTGATATCTATGACCGTTTTGGGGCTATCCTATACGGTGTTCGCCTCTGCAGTATGGCCATTGGTAGCAGCTGCAGTACCTCCTAGGAAGACTGGTAGGTTGCTGTGAAGAATTTCTGGCTTGATCTCTTAACAAGCTGCATTATGTGTGATTGGCAATCATCGTAGAACTTGAGTTTTCGACATTAAAATGATGTTGCCGGGGATAGAACCAGGGACTTTCGCTGCATCGATGGTTGTGACTCCGGTTTGTCTGTTAGGCGCGGCCTATGGTGTTACAACGGCTGCACAAAACTTCGGCTTGGCGGTTACGCCTGTTATAGTGGCTCATATACGTAAGTGGACAAAGGCTGATCGAGGTGTATGGTGGCAACTTGATAGTGATGCAATCCTCAGTGTAAATTCAACTTCAATACTGTGCTCTAGATCTAAGCACTTTGCTCAGGGCCCCGGACTCAGGGGGTCCATCCTATCAATTGCTCAGTGTTGTCGTATCACACCCCAATGTTATCGTATAGTGCAACCGTAGAATCTGTACCCTGTATGGAAGATAATGCACATGGTCAACTTCATCTGTTGCTGACAATATGGAAATTCTGAGCAAAATCGGGAAAATCTCATTGGTTTTTCTACACTTATATTCGAATTCGTGTGTAAGCATTGCATAGTAAGACTCCTATATGATGGTATGCATTAATATGGGAGGTCCACGCCTACATACTGCTCCACTGTTCCTGTCCCCATTGGTCTCGGCGACAGGTTCATCCACTGGCTCCTACGTAGCCGTAGAGAAGTTCTTCTTCTTCATCGGTACAGCATCGATAGGGGTGGGCATTCTGCTATGGATGAGAGATAGCCGGTCTGGTGGAATGTTGAACAGCCCAGTTCGGTCCAGAGGAACTGAGCCTCTCGATCCGAGTGAGTGCTTGGATTCACAGCTTCACGTTTTAACATCTTGGTCATCGTCAGAGTTGCCCATAGTAGGGTCATCGATTGAGACTGGCCCCGGTAGTGAAGAGGAGAGCACCCAGGAGATGTCCGAAGATGATAGATTATTATTTAATGAGCATATTGTTGATGGTTAATGATGCATTCGCAGTGTACTTATTGTAGTTGAGTTGTATTAGTTGGGCAACTCAAGGGTGGTATCACGATAATTGACGGGTAGATTTGACCTGCTAAGGACGGTGTGCGGAAGAGGGGGTCGTTGAGGGGGAGAAATAAAGGGTGCTGAATCGCGCATATTATGCACCAGAGTGCGGGGAATGAGTTGTAACGATAGGGATGATACGTTTCAGTCCAGACACGGTAATTGCAGCAGGCATACTCAACCTTGTCATCGAACTAACCTCCTCCCGTGTTGGGCGATAATTACTAGGACGAAGTGGTCCTTACTAGGAATGAGAACTATAAGAAATGCAGAGTTTTCGATATGTTATGGTATATGCTGCAGATTATTAGTGCTCCGCTGGTAGAAAACATTGATCACTCTCAACCAAACATTATTGATTTTACATACCAATCATAAGCGTCTACTATGCTCTCCTACACTATTGAGCTATTCCACTATGGCAACAGCAGCCAGATTTGAAAATGTGAGATTGAGTGCATGTAGATAGCCGACCTCGTTATACTTCAATCCATGCTTATGAAAAAATTCTCGAACCCTCATACTGACGTAACCAGGGAATCTAAACTGGGGACATGACGGGAAGAGATGATGCTCTATTTGATAATTCAAATAACTCATGAGCCATGTGACGAAATAATTGTTAGTTGACACATTAACTGTGTGCTTAGATGCGTATTCCAACCAGTTAGCTCTACCATGCTGGTTAATGACAGGTAAATGTGTATGTGATAGAGCGAAGTGTACAAAGATGTACATACCACCAACATGCACACTTGCGATGTAACATAACAAGACCGATACCAATCCATAGCTGAACCCGAGGTACACAATAACTAAGTAGCGTACGAGTAGCCAGAAAGACTCCATTCGTCGACCTGTCCTAATAATATGCCTCGGGTGTAGGTAGAATTGCCAAAAGAACGATACCAGTAGTGTTGATATCGGTGCAAAGCACACAGCTTGTGATCTGATCCAGACAGACGGTAGACGGCCTCGAAGTACGGCCTTATTGAAGGCGACCAGAGGCAATGTCTCGAGATCAACATCTTTCCCTAAATGCTGAGGAGCAGCGTGATGCTTGTTGTGTGCATTGCGCCACCACGCAGCTGACATACCACAACCAATGCCGAAAAATAGTTCTTGGAGGAACTGGTCAACTTTCCAGTTACCAGTCAGAGAGTGATGACCTCCTTCATGCATCAACCAACCAGCACGACCTTGAGCTACACCAAGTACAGCACACCCAACGTACACATTACTGGTGCACAGAGCCAAATAGAAGCCAATGAGATAGAGAGCAACGACTTCCAAGCAGCGGTATACAACATGCATGACGCTTGGCTTGAAGACACCTCTGCTGACGAGGTCATCTCTTAGGCGTTTGAAATCATCCATGATGGAGCGTTGGGTTGAAGGAAGGAAAGTACCGTCATCATCACGGGATGGTAGGGTTTTGAGGATCTTCTCTGCCTTCTCACTGCCAGCATGAAACTCACGAAAAGCATCAGTGGCATCAGCACCAACTTGGAAGAGGATAATCTTACCACCTGGATGACGATTGATGAACTCAGTGACATCGTATATGCGACCATTGATGCAGATTTCCTGACGAGGGAGCACCATTCGGGAAAAGGGGCCTCTGTAGAGGGTAAGAGAAGACATTCAACACAACAGGAAGAAGATGAAAAAGATTCTATCAGAAAGCTACTGACCATGACGACAATCCTCTACCACCACTACGAGTTGACCATGTTCTTGTTGCGGTTGCAATGATGAGAACTACCTAGCGAGCAATCTCTCGATGTTACGCAGAGCATTATGATGCAAAGTAGTAACAGCCGCCTTGGTTAAACTGACAATGTTGGTTTCCTTGTATGGCAGTCCCAGCTCCTGGGCGAGTGACTTGACCACAGGAGTTGTCTTCGGAAGATTATGGCGGGGCATTGTTGGGAAGAGATGATGCTCGATCTGCATATTAAGACCACCAGTTAGATAGAACCACAACTTCTTCTCCCAATGAGTATCACTGAATGAGCCTATATTGATAGTGGTTAACAATGTCTGACGAACGAGTGATAGGGATTCACCAGAAGCCACCCTAGGCTCGTTGTAGTGGCTGGCAAATACAACAACAGCAGTTAGGAAGCCACTAAGCATGTAGGCCAGAAGGATGAGCAAATACTTACCACTGGTGTACGATATGATGCCAACAATGAGTATGTGAAGTACCAAAGCTACGGTATCCCTCCTGGCATGCATACGGTTGTATCTATTAATAGACCTACTTTGTCTCAAGCAAACCAATACCGACTCGTACAACCAAAATAGATGCAGTAGAGTTAACATTGGTAGGTAGTAGACAGCTTGATATCTGTTCACATTACCAACATCGAAGTCCTCGAAAAAATGCAACGGTGGTTGAGTTAGAATATCAGGATCATTCTCGTACTGATTGGTCAGCACGTGATGAGTATTGTGCCTCAGTTTCCACCACAGAAGTGTATTCCCTCTGGCCAAACCGGTAAGCCAGCCAAGATAGTCGTTGTAGTTCGCACAGTTAGTAGTAGACTTAGGTAGAGCTGTATGATGTGACCAGTCATGTCCCAACCACCCCAGCTGAAACCAAGCGAAACCTATCAGTGCGGTTGACCAAATACCATAGTCAAAGTAGAGAGTAGCAAACCCGATGATGAGCAAACCGAAGGCTATCATTGCTTTCACTCCTTCATATAATAGATTGCTTTGAAACCAGCCCTGGTTTCTAGCAAGAGTGCGGAGCTTGTAATACATCAACTGTTCTCTCGATAGAGATTTCTCAATAACCTGGACATCACCAATAGAGGCGTTGATGGGGGCCGAGGAGACCACATTTGAAAATCTGATGATGCGCTTGATAGCTTCATCAGTGTGCATGGCCATAACAGCATCAGTCGCGTCCTTCTTGTTGAATGCTCTGAGCACTTTAGAACCACCAGGATGGTCATTCAACCAAGCTGTAACATCAACCCATGTACCAAATAGTTTGATCACAACCCTCGCATCCTCCTTAGTATCACCAACACTAGGAGTAGCTCGGCTTGGACTGGGGTGGGCGTTCTGGTCACCACTTGACAGGTCTTCTTGTAGTTGCACAGTAGTGGTTGAAGTAGTCATGGGAAAAGGGGCCTGAAACTCACAAGTTGATAAAGAGTAAAACACTAGCACACATCGGCACTGACTATAATCATCGATAATAACTAGAAAAGGAGATGATGGCCATTGATTACGGTGGAGCCAACTCATAGTGAGAAAAACTGATTGTCGTTACGCATCAATATTATGCATAGCCAACCATACTGATGAGTTACATTTGAAACCACTACCAAAAGCCAACTGTAATACCCTATCTCCACGCTTAATACGTTGGTCACGTTCGAGCCATGCCAACTCATACCATATGCTACTGCTACTGGTGTTGCCTCTCTCATAGAGAACACTACGGCTTGCTTGGATATCGTAGTCTGACAGCTGGAGAGAATCTTGTAAGGTATCCAATACACCACGGCCACCAGCATGAATACACCAATGATCAGTACCCTTTCTAAAATCAGGTACGTACAACTCGCGACCTTCTTTTGACGACTTTCTTCTCATTTTCATCGTCACCATCGAGTATAAGACCTTCAACAGTTCTCTCAGAGGGAGAACCATATAAGCAAGCTTAGTAAAATTTTGTTTAATAGCAACAGCAGCAACTTTGATGATGCTCTTCTGGAGCCTTAGTGTAACAATACTGTTGGGCTTGGTACTGTCATCAGTCTCCATAATCGTTTCAAAACTCTCATTACCGAGAACTTGCGTTCTTACGGTATGTAACAACTTATATTTGGCACGAGATAGGTCTTTAGGCAATGACGATAGCAAAGCAGCAGCACCACCACATCTGAATAATGTGTTACCCATCAGTGGTTCACGATCATTACCACGATAGAAGCAACGAGTTAGTATCTCAGTTGAGACAATCAGTGCCCTACCTCTGGTCTCTCTCAACAGACGCGTTGCTAGATCAATTGTGATAACACCGGCACTACACCCCATACCACTGAGGTTATAGGTGATAACGTCATTCCTCATACCGACTTCATTCACTATCATAGCAGCATGTGACGGTGTCGGGTTGTACATGGCGCAATTGACGATGATGTAGTCGATAGATTTAGGATGCACACCAGTTTTCTTGAGCAGATCTTTGACCGTAGTTATGATCACTTCCCTCGCTTCCTCTCTAGTATTGACAGCAGAGGCATCGGCGGGGGCGTTAGTCCTCAGTGACTCAACAACCACTGGAGGGTAAGCAGCACTCTTATCAGGGCAAGTACCAGACCTCTCGAGAAGACGCTGCATGAAGTTGAGTGAATCTTCCGTGTAGCAACCTTGTATCTTGGCAATGTTGATGATGTCTTCATGACTGACCTTCCAAGAGGGAGGAGCGTCAAACTCAACATGATCGATGCAGAATACATTGGGCTTGCTGTTGTAATAGCAATTACATAACCACAGTAGTGTTAGTCCCGAAAGCACAGATAGAGCAATTGAGATGTCGTAAAGGGGCAGAGCTGCGACATAGTAGTGATAGCCAGTGATTATAGTTATGATAGAAGAGTAAAAGAGTAGCTGTTGATAGTGGATAGAGACCAATGTGATGTAGGCTACCAAACGCATACGTCGAGTGCTACCACTACTAGAGGCAGGTATAGAAGCGGAGTAATCATGGTTACACATTCCAAAGGGGCCTGAGATGACGATATCACAGATAGATATAACCCGAGTGGAGTGATGCTCCGCGGGAACTTGCATGACGACGTAATGACGTCCTAACGATCGTCTTAATAGTCATAACGTTGCAGAATCAGCAACGCTGATTCAGCAGTACGACTAGTGTGACTATCCTCAGATAAGATCCTACTCCTCGAATTCCATATATTATGCTACGAGTGTAGAGTCTGGCGATGTTAGTGCAGCACATACCGTGGCCCTACATTCTGGAATGTAGGCCTGCGCAATGAGCGTTTTGCACGCGTGCGCAAATGATTGGTGCGCCGTTCGTCTTCAACGCGCGCGACGAATGACCGGAGGGACTCGATGAATTGAGTTTTGACGAACCACGACAATTTCCGACCTAAACTGCTTGATTTTGCATCTCACCAGTATTTGAGGGCCCGTATAGACGCGCCGAGGGGTTATTGGGGTTGATCGCATATTAGAGTTACGCTAATGCGCGACCACTCGAATTGATTTGGTGCTCTCAATAGTATTGAATTTGACAATTTTGCCATGCGTGCCGCTCCCCTCTGGAGAATGCTGGATGGTGCATGTCCACAAATCCCGAATCAGACAGGCAGGAAAATGCTGATACTATCACGCTGTTTCGTATTTCTATGGTGCACTCATGCACATCAGTCTGAGTATTGCTCATCTTTCGGTGCGCCGCTCGATTCACTCGACAATGGGATGCGGTTCACTCCCACACGGAGACTCACAACAATAACAACAACAGCAAGATTGGAATACACCTTTCGTATGTCTGCTTCACAGTTAGTAAGATCAATCTTTTCTCAGTCGGAGCGTCATCTTGTGAGTACTGCGCGGGGTCAGAGGTCTGTGTTCAGTGTCCACTCTCCACTGGAAATTACCAAGGAAATACTCGTCAGAGTCTCTCCTGAGAAGATAGCATGTCGCAGTTAAGCTCGGAAATGGCATGTCTACTCTCGAACGGAGTCGACTTTACTATGCGCATTTATCTTCCGCAATTCGTCCAAGCCGGATTGTGTTTCGTTTGTTTTTCCGACCAAGGTGGATGCCCTAGGTCGCGCTCTCGGGAGATTGCGTGTACTGGGGCATTTCTTGGGATGGCATAGCTGCCCCACTGGCGAAATTTGTTGTTTTCAGTGATGTATCGGGGTGGTATATCTGCCTCACCGAATAATTTTGTTGTACTCGGGCATATCTTGGCGTGGCATGGTTACCCCAGTGGGCTACCTATGGCACGCCAAGATAAGTGGGTAACCCCACTGAGGAAATTTGTTTCACTGAATAATTTCGTACACCCAGGCATGTTTTGGCGGGCATATCAGCCCTACTGAAGAAGTTCACTGTACTCGAGCATATCTCGGCTTGGCATATTTGCCCCACTCAGGTATATCTCGGCGTGGCATATTTATCCCACTTACGAAATTTATTGTTCTCCGATATATCTTGTCCTGGCATAGGTGTCTCACTGAAGATTTTTTCATACTCGGACACATCTTGGCGTGGCATATTTGTCCCAGTGAAAAAATGAAATATATTGTACTTAAGCATATCTTAACGCATAATAGTTGCCCCACTCTGGCCTATGTTGACGTGGCATAGTTACCCCGATTTGGCATATTTTGACGTGGTATATTTGACCCACACCAGTTCATTGTACTCGAGCAGATCTTGGTTTGGCATGTCTGCCCCACTGAAGAAATTGTGTGTTTATACTCAGGCATATCTTGGCATGGCATATTTGCCCCAGTGAAGAAATTCATTTTACTTGAGCATATCTTGGCGTGTCATACTTGCCCTACTCTGGCATATTTTGGCGTGGCATAGTTACCCCGCTTAGGCGTATTTTGGCGTGGTATATGAGTCCCACACCAGAAATTCATTGTGCTCAAGCAGAACTTGGTGTGGCATAGTGGCCCCACTTTGGCATATCTTGGCGTGGCATATTTGCCCTACACAAGAAATTTATATCATACTCAAGCAGATCTTGGTGTGGCATAGTGGCCCCACTTTGGCATATCTTGGTGTGGCATATTTGCCCCAGACAAGAAATTTATATCATACTCAAGCAGATCTTGGTGTGGCATAGTGGCCCCACTTTGGCATATCTTGACGTGGCATATTTGCCCCAGTGAAGAAATTTGTTATACTCGGGCATACAGCTGGGTGAAATGGAAAATAATTCGTAGCTGACCTGAACCGACTCACTCCGTGTGTGCCAGAGTGATCTCAGCATTTCCACTCTGCTATTCAGTATGTTCTTATACAGGCCCGAACAGAGTATTCTCTCATCATTGCTTCCTCTTCACAGGTCCACACATATGCTCTGGACTTTCGTTAATCTCTGGGTTAAGAGTCATTGACTTGAGTCTGTGGTGGCATTCAATAGGCTGACGCATGCGTACGACTGCCAAGAGACAGGCTGATGAGCATGCGCGCGCCGTGGAAATAGGATGCACTTTCAGGTACTGACTCGCGGCGAGTCACTCGCCATCTGATACCATGACGTGATTGGATCAGATTATGATGATGGCATACAATATGACACGATGAGAGTCTCATCATAGTCGGTTTTCCGAATAGGCTCGGCGTTTAACTCTCGGTCTGATGACTAGCAAGCACTTCGTGGGACTGAGGTTCTCAGCTTTCTGGTGAAATTGTTGGCATTTAATTGACCTCTGGTGTTCCCTACTATTGAGGATGTATCTGCATAGATTGAAGAATGCCAGCTTCATCACTACGTCTTCAACCCTACTGCAGATCGTTCACGACGAACTGTTGATCAGATCATGGAGATGGTGATCCATGATACCACAGGAGAGCGAATGGTCGCGGTAGGGTCAAGTAGCCGCCCTTGTGGTTTTGCATATTTGCTCATCATTATAGGGTAAAAAGAGAGGCCCATGTGTTGGAGTATGATAGACATTACTAGAATCTGAATTGCTACTCAGGAGAAGACATCAGGTTCAAATCCTAGCTACCAGGCTGGCTTTCGATCTTGTATTGCTGTTGTATTTTTTCTCAACACACGCTACGTTGACATGTTAACTACCGAAGGCGCCATGATCTTCGGAGGTTTTTCGTTGGAAGAATGGACTTGAGTTTTAGGTCATTTGGTACAGGTCGAACTAATGTCTCCGATCCTTCAGAATTGATTTCGTGGAGTTCCAACTTTACCAATTAATGTACCCTAACGCGTTCATCAGAGACGAGAACGCCGATCCCAATCCCACACATACCCAGCCGGCTGAAGAAGCCAGGGTGAAACGGGAGCTGGGGAGGATGGTCCAGAAGATACCTCCCGAGTTGGTGCTCAAGTATCCCCCTCCAGAGCAGGTCGGCAAGCTTATAATATATAAGGAATGCTTCGGATGACCGTGCGGCTCCCGGACTCTGAGGATTGATTGCTTGGTTATTTTCAGTTAATAATTCCGCTGCTGGGATACCAACTTGAAGGTCTCGCTTGGATGTGTGAACAGGAGACCAAGGAGGACTGTAAGGGGGGTATATTGGCTGATGAGATGGGCATGGGGAAGACCATACAAACGGTCTCGTTGATTACTAAGAAACTTGTGGGGAGGAATAACCCCACTCTGATCGTATGCACCACTACCTCGATGCTCCAGTGGGAGGCCGAGATCAATAGATACCTACGGCCTGGCACTGTGAAAATATTCCTGTACCATGGAAAATCTAAGATCACTGCTAAGTCCTTGAGAGGATATGATATCGTTCTGACGACTTACAGAACTCTGGAGGCCGAGTACAGAAAGGAGCTCGATCAGCTGAAAAGGGCGTGTCCCTACTGCAAGCGCAAGATACTCCCAGAACTGCTCTTCTCGCATAAAGAGAAGTGCCCGAAGAGGCCTCGTACCACTTGGACCTATGACGCCAGCGGCCGAGCCCATCCCAGTGCACCAGTGTATCAGCCGAGCGCACCATCGTCATCATCATCCACCTACCATCATCAGGATGGGGCTCCTCCGACAGGCCAGTCATTGCGGAAGAATCTCTTCCAAGAAGAGAACCGTTCAGTTTTGGCCGGCGGAGGTTCGAGGGAGGTCAGAGCGCCTTCGTATGGTTCTAATGTCTCGGTTAATTCTAATCGGCAGCAATATCGTAATCCGGGATCCATGGAGACGATCAAGGACTTCTTCACTGGTCAAGCCGGCTCGAGAGTGCGGGAGGACCATCTCGTCAAACAGGAGGATGTCAATGATGACCATAGAGCACGGAGGGATCTAGTCGACATGCTCAAGAGATTACGGCCGAAAGCTGAGCAGGGCAGAGACTCCATAGACAACTGCTATAAGCCGACTTGGAGAACTACACCGTACTCAAGACCGTCCGTGGGTGGCTCTAGTGGTGCCGTGAGACCGAGTACAGGCCCTTCCACAGGACCGTTGCGCATCAATCCCTCTATTTCTGCTAGTTTACAACGCACTATTGGTGGGTATATTGCTTCGAGAGGTATCGATCATGCAGGAGGTTTTAAGGAGGAACAGTGGATGACAAGGGACAGTCTCGTGGAGCCCTCCTCGGCAGCGGCTGGCAGTATCAGCTCGTCTTTAAACCAGCACCGATATCATGTCCTTGGTCACGGCCGACCGAGTGGTGCGAGCATTTCCGTGGAGGAAGAGGCAAAGCCTATGGTGGTCCGATTGAAGCCCAGCAGCCCTCTGAGGGAGTGCAGCAATCTAGGTTATATCAAGGTGGAGAACGGAGCCTCGTGGGACTCCGATCGACATGAATGGCGGTCGAGTGTTGGGCCTATCACTCAGAAGGGTCTCGTCTTCAGTAATGGTCTACCACGACCTGGTGTGACCGGGAGTTCAGCAGTGCTCGATGGTCCGACTGTACCTGTCAGTAGGAAGATGTATAGTCCTCTCGTAAAGAGGGGAGGACTGCCCGGAAGGCGCCTGGAGGAGAGTCCTCTGCTGGGCTTGGGGAAGCGTATCAAGGCTGAGGAAATGGCAGGGAACAAAGAGAACGTCGATGATAATGCGTGGAGTGTCACCGGACCGGTCCGATCTTACCAGAAACCATCACCGCAATGCAGTCCTCTACCGAAACTCTCTACTGCCAACATGAGCAGTAGCGAAGTGGGATGGAAAGGGGCTACTATGGGGATGCCTCGATCGTGTGGGCAAGATATGGGTGGGGCCCGTCGTAAGGCAGCGGAGATTGTGAGGCGTGCGGTTAAACCCCGGAGGGTTCGCCTAGCGCAAGCAGCTGTCGAGGACAGTAGCGACGAGACAGGTGGGTCTCTGTTGGGGTCTCCTCAGGTATCGATGATCGTTCTTTCCTTCCAGGGACTGACAGGTCGGACTTGGAGAACCGATTGCGCCGTGCAGGGCTATTGCATGGTTTGCGCTGGGAGAGAATAGTCTTAGACGAGGCTCACAAGATCAAGGCAGCCGGGTCCTCGACCGCTAAGGCCGCGTAAGAATCCTCCCGGTCCGTCCCCTTCGTGTCAACATCGATGCTCAGGTGTGCCTTGCGGTCGAGGTTCCGATGGTGCCTGTCGGGAACTCCTCTCCAAAACAAAGTTGGAGACCTTTTTTCGCTGATAAGGTGACAGTCGTGACCGAAATTCATCATTGTTGTGCCCATAGATTCCTCCGGGTTCTGCCGGAGGGCGCTAGGATGTGCGACTGGGCGGGTTGTGACTGCGTGTTGCTGGACCACCCCATAGAGAACTGCAAGGCCTGCGGGCATCCCAGAATTAGCCACTACATTTACTTTACACGATTCATTGCCAATCCCATCAAGAGGTACCCTTTTGGCGCGGTGCTTTACCAGACGATGGAGTTCCCATCAGCCACGGCTTCGATGCGTTTGAAGGAGCGGAGGGGTTGGAGCTGCTCAGGACGAGGGTTCTCAAGCGTCTCATGCTGAGGCGCACGAAAGCGGAGAAGCAGATGGAAGTCCGCCTACCAGAATTAACGAGTGCACTGCATACACTTTCGATGAAACCAAAGGACCGTGAGGTCTACGACAATCTTTTCGAACTCTACCAGGACAGAATACGCGGCTATCTGAGACGAAATGAAATCGGCGAGCATATGGTTGAGGTGCTCTCGCTTATCATGAAGCTCAGATTGGTAGGTGGTCTCCCTAATTTTGACAGTACTGATGCTTTCAGGCTGCAAACCACAAGTATTTGGTGAATTCTGGTGACGATGAAGGAATGAGGAAATGCGTAGGTGTTGATGCATAACGCGAGGCACACTGTATTGGTAGGACGTATGTGACGACGATATCATCACGGGGTATGGGGAAGATGATCTGGTATGGATGGACTGCGGTCATGAGTTCCACAGGTTGGCTAGCCGCTTCCCCCCTCTCACGTATTAAAGGCTGTAGGGACTGTGTGGGTACAGCTAGTACGAATATCAGCTCATTGTCGAGCGCTTGCGTGCAGTGTCCCGTTTGTGAGAGCAGCTCGGTTCTACACCAGTCCTGGGTAGGTCTTTGGGGGGCATTCGTGGATCAACTGGTCTCCTTATTAGGCTCAGACTGCTGCTACTACATCAGCGATGCCACGCTCAGAGGAAATCAGAGCTTTACTGTCTCTTTCAAGCTTATCCCGAAGGAATAACGTCATCAGTCAACTGCAAGAGATGCATGGCCCTGGTATACCATCATCGTCTAAGATCGATGCCCTCATCACCAGAGTCTTGGAGATGCGTAGACAGGATCCCAATGCTAAAGGGTGAGGTCATCGATCCGGTATCATGATTTTGGGGAGCAATTACTTTCAATTCCGCGGAGTCTCTTACTTCGTAATGTCTAACAAGTCTTCTCGTAGCGCCCGCCGGAGAGAGCATAGTCTCATTTTTAGCAACGGGAGCAGTAACATGCGTTGGATCTCTGAGTCCTCCTTCGTTCAGGCTGGTATTCTCCTGCTTTGTCAAGTTGCTGGAGCTCTCACAATACCACCTCAAAGCCAGAGGGATTAGCACTTTCGTAAGGCAGATCTCTCGGTTATCGTTAACCATGAAAATACGTACAGTAGCTCGTCGAGTGTCTACTGTCCTCAGATCATCCACGGATCGATACCCCTCGCCGTTCGCACCAGGATCATCCGGGCTTTCATCGAGGTGGGAGATGTCTGTGTTGTGATCTTGACCCTGGTCTGCTATATCAGTCGCCAGCGTCGGACTGCAGCCTCCTGCTGGTATCGATTTCCGCTGGTGGTGAAGGGTTGAACCTCCAAAGGGCGAGTCACGTCTTCATACTCGGTGAGACTGCGCTGGCCCACGTAGGGTGGTATACTCCTGTATAGATCCATGGTGGAACCCGGCCGTAGAGAAGCAGGCCATACAGCGTTGCCACCGTCTAGGACAGCAGCAGATTGTGAGGAGTCACCATCTTATCTCCGAGAACACCATCGAGGAGCGAATCAAGGCTCTCCAGGTAACACTACCTTGGCTTCATGGAATTTATTTATCTAATGACTCAACTCTACACGAAACCTGAGCTAATAGAGATCAACGTCCCCGGGCGATACAGTTTTCCTTGGATACTCGAGTGATGATCATTTCCTGTTACAGGAGAAGAAGCAATTGATCTTCGATGGCACTATCGGCGGTAACTTCAATGGAGCCCTCGAGAAACTCACCATCGCTGACCTCAAATTCCTTTTCCAACTCTGAATTCGTCGTCATCATCATAACCATCACAGTAGATGAAGCCACTGTAGGTATGATGTCTTAGACGCCTGTTGCGGTACAGGTTGTAGTCTCATGATGTCATGCTATAACCTAACCATTAGTTTATTATCAATCGATGGTGGTGTTTTGTTCAGTAGCGGTATTATCTTCGATCAATGACGAAATTAGCTTGTTGCTTCAGAGTTCGTCTATTCATGGCCCGGCTTGAGCCGGCTTTCACGGCTCGTTGGGACGACAACCATCATTGCTGGGCTCTATACGAACTATCTGGCAGTCAAGAGGGGCCGAACCAGTGGCTCTGCCTAGTAGAGCGCCCGCAACACAGCCAGACACGTTGTTCTGGCTGCGGACGGAGTATTCTGGCGTTTAACCACAGAATCGGCCACCCTATAAGGGACCATTACTCTGGTAATGGTGTCCGTACTATCTACCACCATGAGCATTGCCTGCCAAGCACCATTTTCAAGGCGCTACCGAAGCTGGGCGAGGCTTGTCGGGCCAGATCGTAAGCTGGCTATACCTCGCCTTGGTTGTGAGACCATCACTTTTCAGCCGTCGCACGCTCATCTTGTGGCTATCTGCACACATGCAGGGCTATAATGCACTTGAAGAGAGAGAGCGAGACCGAGTGGCCGACGGCTTCGTTGCTTCTTTCGTGAGTAGAAACCATGGTAAAAAGTTGTATGGGTATGTCCTCTAGGCTTACGAGTCCGCAGCCGAGGCTGAGGAGCGAATGAGGCCTCTGTCGAAGCATTCGTCTTCTACAGCTCGCCAGGGCGCTGTTGGATGCAACGTAGGCCCTAATTGGCATTCTCATGGAGGGCACTCCTATTAATATCCTTTAGGGAAGAATGGGTCGCGAGGAAACGAGGACTGCTGAGAGAAGGCGCGGAGTCAAGCTCGGAAGGCGCCCGCATAATGTGTCATCTTCTATTTTGCCACCCGAAGTTGGTGCCACAGCCCCTCCCAAGAAGATACGAATCAGTTCACCGCGGCCGGCTGGACAGTCGAGTGCTATTGGTAGTGCCGTCGCCAGTCGAGATAGTGCTGTCAGTGGGCAGACGAGGTCTTCGAGTGAGAAACGTCCTGCACATGAGAATGAGCCCATCTCAAGTCATCCTGCTGAGGCTACGGTATCTCCGGTACGGCGCGTGGGGAATACCAGCCGAGCTTCGCGAGAAGCAGGCTCGCAGGCGGGTGTTACACCCGGGGTGTAGATGGACTATCGCAGTCAGTGGTGATTGATCTTGAAGCTGACGTTGCCTCTGAGCCGATCCAATGTCTAGCAGAATGTTTTTCTCGAGCTGTGAAGTCCGAGAGTGGTGGGGTTGCCAAGGTAGAGGAAGCGTTGGACTGCGGAATGGCACCGTTTGGTGTGAATGGTGCGGACAAGAAGAGTCAACCCGGCATGGAGATAAACCGAGTATTTTCTGGTGGTGTTCGAGCTCTCCCACCGGAGAACGTTGTATTGGCGGAGGCACGAGTGACAAACCCTGTGGCGGAGGCAGCGGGATCTGATCAAGCAACACAGACTGAGGAGAACACGGTGAGCAGTGCGTGACTAGGGGCGCACTAGATTCAGACTCATGCCGGTTCAGGTAGACATTTGGGGCCAAGACAGTCGCTATATATTGGAACCGCCTTGTGGCCGTGAAGTAAGATGGTCGGCAGGCTCATGGGTGGCTCATCCAGCATCCGAGGATCGCTATCCCTATTATATCCGAAGGGGAATATCTCCTCCACCTATCGCTCGATCTATTCCTGGGAGTCACTTTCAAGTTGGGAACGGCGGGTGGTACACGTCTGGAGAATCTGGTGAGGCGGGTGACTCAATGATCCCAATAGTGATAGTCACTAACCGTGACAACACGATTTGGCTGTCATATCGATATTATCGAGGAGCACACAGTGAGTCACTGCCTCGTGCTCCTTGTGCCACAAGACTTGTGGTATCCCTATTCCTTTCCAAAGCTCATTTCATGCTCACTAACATTAATTTCTCGGATGAGATAGTTATTCCACGATGCCAATGCCACCGCGACTCGCGGTCCGCGAGATATGAACTGCAGGCATTTCGGGATAATTTGCTTTCCAAATAAACTATTAAAAATGATTCTTTGTATGAGTCGCGTATGAGGATATCACAAAACTCCACAAGGGCTTTCAGACGGCATATTTATAATTTCCACATTCTGAGCGAGAAACCGAAATCCTTGATTTAAAAGATCGATTACAATAGAAGAGGTCGCATTTCACGACTTTGCACGATACAAGCAATTCCATCGGAATAAACTTCTAATAAGATGCACTTGTGTGAACCCAAACGTCAAACCAATGTCCTTACTGGTGTATGTGAATTCCTTGTCCTTGGGCATAGCGGCCCCTCCCCTATTCGGCCGCCCTAAATAGATCTCTGAATGGTATAGACCATAGCGGGGGGCATAGCGGCCCCTCCCCTATTCGGCCGCCCTAAATAGATCTCTGAATGATATAGTCCATAGCGGGGGGCATAGCGGCCCCTCCCCTATTCGGCCGCCCTAAATAGATCTCTGAATGATATAGTCCATAGCGGGGGGCATAGCGGCCCCTCCCCTATTCGGCCGCCCTAAATAGATCTCTGAATGGTAGTCCATAGCGGGGGGCATAGCGGCCCCTCCCCTATTCGGCCGCCCTAAATAGATCTCTGAATGGTATAGTCCATAGCGGGGGGCATAGCGGCCCCTCCCCTATTCGGCCGCCCTAAATAGATCTCTGAATGGTATAGTCCATAGCGGGGGGCATAGCGGCCCCTCCCCTATTCGGCCGCCCTAAATAGATCTCTGAATGGTATAGTCCATAGCAGGGGGCATAGCGGCCCCTCCCCTATTCGGCCGCCCTAAATAGATCTCTGAATGGTATAGTCCATAGCAGGGGGCATAGCGGCCCCTCCCCTATTCGGCCGCCCTAAATAGATCTCTGAATGGTATAGTCCATAGCGGGGAGCATAGCGGCCCCTCCCCTATTCGGCCGCCCTAAATAGATCATTGAATGGTTCACTCTGGCTGACGCTCCTTTTCAGACCCTCGAGGAAGCTCCCGGCCATCATCGTACGCATCCAGAGATCTTTATGGCTCTCGGTGGTGACTCAACGCCAATTTTGGCATCCATGCCGGAGATGTGATGAAGATTAGAGTAATCCTATGAAGAGTAGTTCGAGTTTCTATGTTTGAATCTGGTGTTATTCTAAATAACGTGGCGATGGCTCAATTGTAGAGCTTCAATAGTGCGACAGTCACTGAGACTCGGGGTCCTGTTAGTAATATCAGCAATAATATTGCTCGGTATTGGTCAGAAAAGTGCCTGTAGGAGCCTGATACGCCGATATCGGTATCAGTACACTCTGAGATTCGCTTAATCGCCGAGCCATGAACGTTCGCGGGTGTATCTGTTTACATAGACGTTATACTTCGGCGAAGTTGATTGACTTAGTCAATGTCAGCCATCGAGGCCTCTGCACAGTCTCACAGGCCCTCACCGATCTTCAATGCTAACTGGGATGACCGTCGGGAGTGTTGGAACCTCTATGGTTCGCCAGCGGCCGGTGATCCTCGAGAGAGATGGTTTTTTATAGTAGACCAGCCCGAGCATAGCAATACACATTGCTCTGGGTGTGGGAGGAAGATTCTTGAAAACAAACTGAGATTGGGGTACCCAGCCTCGGACAAGTTCAGCGCTAGTGGTGTTCGAACACTATACGTGCATGAGCACTGCTTGGCTGAGGATATTTTTGAAGGGTGCCCTGCAGTAAAGGAACTGTGTAAGCAGACGAGGTGAGTTGAGGAAGGCTATTGGATAGACTGCAGTTATTGGCCCTCAGGTCTCGACAACTCAGTGTATGGTTGGGTAAGCACGTGTATGGCTTCGAGTCCTTGAAAGATAAGAAGCAAATGAGCTTGGCGATCGGATTCCGGGAATCTCTTGTAGCGACCTTTCAGCCGTTGTTGCCAGGGAATTACCATCTTGTATTTCAGAGCTTCAATGCCGAAGTTTCCTCCCCTACTAAGGAGACGGCTCTAAGAAGTGAGGATCCGCCGAAGTCAGCAGCAATACAGACGTCCCCTCCACGACCAGCGCCTGTCTCAACAGAGACTCCTTGCCCTGCTCTCACGAAGCAGCAGCTTGAGAGGATGAATACGCTTCGACTACGCACACGTTGCAAGACTGTTGGACTTGATGACTCGGGTAGCAGAAGTTGTCTCCTGCGCCGCTTACTGCGGCACGAAGAGAGGAACAAACGGCATGAAGTGGAATCGTCCATCGAGGATGATGAAGGAGAAGAGGTGCCGACAGCTGCGAGACAGAAATCGAAACCATCGAAAACTGTCGCGCGACCGGCGAGTGAGGAAAGTCCCACGGCTGGAGGGAACTCGAGGAAGGTTAGAAAGAAGACGGGTAATAAATCCACGAAGCGGAGCCGTCATCTCCGGACGCCGTCCCCACGGGTGGATGAGAGTCCAAAGGGTAACCGGAAGAAATCTAAAAGGACAGCGACGCCAAAGACTGCTGAAACTACGAGTACTACCGACAGCACCATGTCCACGGGCAGGGATACGCACGAGGATGCACCTACAGTGCGTCCTCCAGCGGTGACTTGTATCCGTACCTCTTCACTCCTCAACACTGGTAGATCGCGCAAAGTGGCTGAACGGCATACCGAGAAAAGTCCTACGCATAGAGCCGAGGCTTCGCGAGAGGAGGTGCCGACGGTTGGCTCCGCGAGAGAAGCAACTGCTGTTGTGAAGGCGGAGCCTACTCGGCGGGAAGAGGCGAGCACAGCATTAGTGAAGGAGGAATGCTTGGGGCTACGAGGAGCAGTGGTAGTGCCAAGGAGATATGCCGGGCGAACACGTACCGGGGCCGTTGCCACTGAGTGTAAGACGGAACGAGTTAACGACCCGGTGAGAATCAAGACCGAGCCGGAGGTGGCATCTCCCCCGAGTTGTGATTCGATCGCCACTGTGATGGGCTCGCTGGTGGTGTCTTCATCGACGTGTTCTGAGAGGGGGTCCACAGTCTGCACTGGTAACGATGTAGGGGACTCACTGGAGGAGGGGAGCAGGGAGGATGGGGGAGTAGAGGAGGAGGGCAGGCAAGGTGACAGGAGAGCAGAGGAGGGCAGGCAAGGTGACAGGAGGGTAGAGGAGGAGGGCAGGCAAGGTGACAGGAGAGCAGAGGAGGGTAGGGAAGGTGATGGGGGAGTAGAGGAGGGTAGGGAAGGTGACAGGAGGGTAGAGGAGGGCAGGCAAGGTGACAGGAGGGTAGAGGAGGAGGGCAGGCAAGGTGACAGGGAGTAGAGGAGGGCAGGGAAGGTGATGGGGGAGTAGAGGAGGAGGGCAGGCAAGGTGATGGGGGAGTAGAGGAGGAGGGCAGGAAGGGTGATGGGAAATCAGAGGACGGCAAGGAAGGTGATAGAGGGAGAGAGCAGAGCAGGGATAGGGGAAGAGGATAGAGGCGAAGATAATATGGAAGTAGAGGAGGAGGGCAGGGATGATGGAGGAGCAGATGAGGATAGAGGCGAAGATAATATGGAAGTAGAGGAGGAGGAGGAGGGCAGGGATGATGGGAGAGCAGATGAGAATGGAGACGAAGATGATATGGAAGTAGAGGAGGAGGGCAGCGGGGTCGACAAGGTTATACTCGAGAAGGGTGGCGGTCCTAGAGTAGGGGAGAGTGGAGTTGATGGGAGAGTGGATGTTGGCGCCCCACCGAACACCAAGCCGGCATCTGGCATCATCATCACCAACACGACAGAGGCTACGTCAGCTCTGTTACCGGCTGTTACAGCCTCACTTCCTCGCCAAACCATAGCTGTTCCTCAAAGTGATCCGCGACCATCCATTGCGGATTTGAAAACTCCTGATAAAAATAATGAGGCTGTTCTTCCGGACCATAACCGCTCAGGAGGGGCATGGTCTCGAGGGGGAGAGAGCTTCTCCCACGGGTCGTCCAAGCGGGGGAGGAGTCGAAGCCGAGGCCAACGCCGACGATCACCTTCTTCTCATCGACATAGTCGCCAATGCTCTGGAAGGAGGAGAAGTTCTTCACATCATCAGCATTATAACCGTCACCACCAGCATACGCGGCACGGCAGGTCTGATCATACTAGAACAGCATCATCGAGCAGACGTAGCGAGGGATCAACTTCTCCTAGGCTTTGGGTCTCCCCCAAGAAGATAGTTCTGGCCAGTGCGGTCCGCGGGGCCTCTACCCCTCAGGCGGGTACTCGAGATGTGAGGGGAGAAGCGGTTGAACTCGGTGGCAGTACTCAAGCTGGGGGACAGGAGAAAACTGTGGTCGGTGATAAGAGAGATCGTGTTAGGATTTCGACCAGTACTGCTGCAGTCGCCAAGACTTGTGGTAAGGGGAGCGATAGCTGGTCTCGGACTGTGGTGCTGAACCCGCGGTATAGCCGAACTGCTGTTGGTTCGGGTACCTCAACGATGAGTGTTGGCACTACACAGGTATTCGATGGGCGTCAGGGTGGATGGTCGGGCCCGTGGTCCAATTCGTATGCGCCCGCCTCGGCTTGTTACTCACGTAGTGGCGGTCCCTCGAGTGTGTACTCCAGCTTTGGTCGGTATGCATTCACTGAGAGAATTCCTCCTCCTCCGCCTCCCCCTCCTCTGCCCCCTCCACCAGCCCCCCCTCAGTCGACCACCCGCTGGCCGCCGCCACCACGTGGGAACTCGGGTGAGTCCTTCAACCATGAGTTCCAGAAGGGAGTCTTGGTCGCCACTGAGGCACTGATATACGCCTTTCACTTCTCTCAGGCATCTCCCCATCTCCTCAATACTATCGCTCCAGTAGGAGATATCCGTCAAGGAATTAGCCGTAGATGATGAAGCCTCAATGGAGCTAGATAGACATTTCACCACTAGTATAAATGTTTCTATGAATACCTGAGCTCCTCTTGTATTACTACTATGAAGGGTGAGCAATACAACTAGGGGATAGTTCCGATAGAGCAGGGAGGAAGACTGCGTGTTGTTGACGGGTTTTCCCCTTCCTCGACTCCTCGTCCCCCTCATATCGATGGACCATTTGATCTGTGGGCGGTCATTTTCATCTGACCTGCTTCCTCTACAACTGAGCATAGTAGGTGCAGAATGTGTAGTTTCTGGTTCAATTAATGGCTACTGGACGGGATACTATGGGGCAATCAGCCCTCACCGCGGCTGCAGGCGCGGTTTGGGACCATCATCGTCGTTGCTGGGCTTTAGAGGCGCCAGCTGATACAGCCAAGGCACTGTTTAAGTTTAAGGTGGATTCACCCAACCATAGCAGGACGCACTGTATCGCCTGCGAACGGAAGATATTGGAGAACGACTTGAGGATAGGGTACCCGGCAGAGGACAGGTTCAGCGCGGAGGGAGTGCGCTCCTTATTCCTACACGTACACTGTCTACCGGAAGAGCTCGTCTCGAATGATGAGGGTCTTGCTAAGCTCTGCCGTGATCGAAAGTGAGGACGACGAAGTGATCAATGAAATGGCCTGATGCCTTGCAGTTCCGCCGGAATCCAAGCATGGCTAGCTGGTCACGTTGTCGGCTTCGAAGCCTTGACTAAGAAGAAGAAGGCTATGCTGGTTCAAGGCTTCTGTGAGACGCAGGTGAGCACGTTCCACGAATGCGGGTGGCATCTCCTTCAGCCTCCGGCTGCTCCTGCCGCTCCTATGAGGTCTTTGAGTCCGTCGGAGAGTGAGGAGCCCCTAACGAAAGGTCAGTGTGGTAGTTCTGTCAAGAGTACAGAGAGGCAAGTTAATCCGTCGTATGCTGATGTTTGTGAGTCTACTCCTGCACTCAAGTCCATCGACAAAGTTGCAAGGGAGCTGTTGCCGGAATCACCGATAGAAACACCCGGTCTGGCCGACTGTGTTACTCCTGTGGCCCCAACGAATGACAAATGCTCCAAGTATCTCGGGGCTTGGAGATTGACCTCTGGAGGATGCACTTCGGGGGATTCTGCATCTGCTGATCACAAAGACCATTACAGTACAGCTACAGGCGAGCAGCATAAACCGGAATATCTCGGTTCTTGGCGTACTGAGGCGGCGAATTATCCTGGCAGTAACTATTACTCTGTTGGAGCACCTGTTCGCCTCGTCCCCAGCTACAGATCTGGACGGAAAGGACACCACAGCGAGCCTTACTGGAGTTATGGCAAATCATACGGTAGACTCCTGTGAATAACTTGTTTGGTAGGTTTTCGAGCAGGTAAGGGCACGTCACTCAGAGCGCGTCGCTAATGGTGTGACGGAGGATAGCAACTCAGGTGATGAATCTGCCTGGTATTGGCATGTAAACATTTCTTTGTTTGTGCCGTTCATCGTTCTGTCTTGAAGTCGATGCCTGCTAGCAGGGCCAATTAAGGGGAGAAGGGTTTCTGCACGGTTCTTGGGTGTAGTTAGGGTATTGCTATGAGTGGAGTCATCAGTATCCACATTCAATTTGAAATTTTTCTGCATAAGGTTCCGAATAATATTGGCCACGGACTGTCATCCGTAGATTTCACAGATCTCGTGACCTGATAATGTCCCTCTCGCTCTGCGGCTTCAGTCGACCGTACGTGTCGACTGCTGTTGGGTCTTGGTGTAGTCTGGTGTGCCCATTCCGCTCTGCTGTGCATTAATTATGAACTCGGAGTAAGTTGGTTTTCATCGACAGTTTGGCCGAGTGGTCTAAGGCGCTGGCTTAAGGCGCCAGTCCGAAAGGGCGTGGGTTCGAACCCCACAGCTGTCATACATATTTGGTGATCTATGGCTCTTTTCTCTCACCTTTCCTGTAGGCGACTGCCTTGCTGAACGAATCACGAACTCGGGTAAGAAGCCTCAATGATGGAGCTTAGCGAGTCGAGTGGAGATTTGAAACCTTCATGAGAGACATGTGCAGCGCACATTGTGCACGCAAACACGTATGTCGTTAGCGGAGCCGTGAACCGTAGTGTTGAAAGAGTCAACTTGACCTCCAGCGTTCCTTCAACCAGGCCATCAGCGAACCTATTCTAGAGTAAGTTTGAGAGGCAGTCGTTGTTGTTCCTTTGATTCCTCTCCCAGCAATAATCATTCTCCTGTTATCAGCTCAGAAGGAATGCCGAGTGCCACAGCATGAATCGACCACATTGTTGGTGTTCTTAATTTCGCGTCGTATCGATAAGGAAGTGGTGTACAGTATTTAGTTGCATGCTCCTTTATATTTCAATCGGATCACCTACTGCCGTATTGAGTTCGTTATATCATGAATCCTGAAGTGGTACGTTCAAGACGATACGATGATCTTATCGGAATCGACGACGCTCATTGTTCGCTACGAGTGCAATCGATACACCTCGCGACATCGTCACCCGATGGCAACTGATCAAAGGGATCAATAATGCTCAGCTGAAAGTGTGAACGCATAGTATACGTCGAATACACAACATGATTGGAGACACCGGTGGCACCAATCCAGCGTCACGATGGACCCACTATGGAACTCCACTAAAAATCAAAAGTTTTGACTCAAAACTGGTGGCTTCATTTGCGTGATGCGAACCCTTGAAAGCACTTGTCCGAATTCGGTAGGTTACCTTTACAAGGTCCTGTCTCCGCGTATACTGGTTCATACCAATCTGTTTGCCAGTCAGGTTTCTCGCTTTTGGGATCCGCATTCCAAACACGTTGGACGCTAGCAGTGCTGCGGGGTTCCTGTATATGTATATGTGTATATGCTGCGGGGTGTGTGCGCACCTTCCCTTGTGGGAGAGCGTATCACTGATACGATCCACCACTGACACGGTATCAGCCTGTCCGGCCGAGGGCCTATTGAGCGCCACCTTCGCTCAAATGTAGCTCCACTGTGGAGCTCAATAGCGCCGAGGACAGGCGTACCGCAAGTACATGTTTTTAACAGATAAGGACTTCTTTTACCCAACAAGTGAGTGTACACTATTCCGAGTGACGACGTCAAAGAGGACAATACTATATAGATCATTGTCGACGCTATCCTTTTTACGTTATTCGTATATGCGGAACTTTCTTCATTTCATCGCACTTTTTCTGTAAATTTTCCTGTTCGACTTGTCATGGACGTGACCCCGCACTTTTAAAGATGCCTATGCGGACCCATCTATGAGGTGCGAATTCGTGGGATTGGAACTCGGATAACTTGGTCAACTTGCGTTGTCACAAGCACCGTTACACACCAATGAGACTAACTCGCCTCTCGGGGTGAAATCGAAGAAACAGGTTTGGGTAGGTGCTTAAGGGGCTGTCTACTGCTCGGGAGCCAGTATAAGCCGACTTCTTTGGCTTGTTGGGTACCGCAATTATCCTGACGTAGCTGCAAATTCGGTGACAGGAGTCCACACGAGCCTCCAAAAGGTTTCATCCATTCGAACCAATGTTATGCTAATCACCGTAATGGTGACACCGTCTTATCATATGCCCCTGATGGATGAGTTGTCTGTCATCCTCTGTATAGTATCAACAGGTGATTCATTTCTCTCGAGAGATATCGTCTCCTGTCCCTCGGTGCCTCAATCGTACATGTGTTCCTCTCTCTATGAGATTCCAACATCCCGTAAATTGCACATTTCTGAGGTGTCCCTAAGTGGTCCTCTCGAGCGCACTTCACGTCAACTCGACAACGGATGGGAGTATCGTGCAGTGGGAATAGTCTTAGACCGCAACACGCAATGGATATACTCTCCTTCAATAAAGTGATGTCTGTTTCATAATAGCGATGAACTCCTCCTCGTTAACTGACAAGCAACACTCAAAGGCAGCGACAAATTTGAGTGGCTTCTAACTAGCAGAGACGGTGATGGAATATACGTTCTCAGCTGAGCCCAAGAAGTTTACGGTAGAAACGTACAAAAACCAACAAGAATTGCGTTAAATCTCTCCAAAATTTATATTGTCGCCAACACATGTAGTTGACCATGTGCATATTTTCCCACACTGAATAGAGAGATGGTATTGTGAGTGGATCTCACTTTCACCGTCCTGATCTGTATCGAATTCGTCAATCATCGCCTGTAGTTCATCATCCGAGAGGTTTTCTCCCTAAAAGTCTGAAACTGCCAAGTGAAGAGCCAGAAGATGAACTTACCAATTCTCTCGCCACCCGACGGAGGTTCTTCAGAGAAATACGACCTACGATAACTGCTTGCCCAAGCCGACCCGAACTCACGATATTCTCACCTGTACCATCATCATCAAAGAGCTTGAAGGCCTTGATCATCTCTTCGGTTGGGTCTCTATCGGCGTATTTGCTTGTCACTAACAGTTCCCAATACACACAAGGCGACTCATCTTACACTCCTACTGATCTCCAAGTAATCATCATAACGGATCGAACCCGTTTGTTGACGATCATAGTCTCTCATCAGCTCCAGCTACAGCAAAGCTTCCACAACCAGATGATAATAAGAAGGACCGTCACTCACCACTTCAGCCTTTTTCACATCAAAGCCAAGTGCACGCATGCACACCTTCAGTTCGTGGTAATCGATCGATCCACTGCGACTGGTATCGAAAAGATCGAACGCTTCCTAAGGCACAGAGTAGCTGAGCGCCTCCGACGAGGGCCGCGCGCACCTTGATCTCCTGTTTCTGTTCCTCGCTGATCTCGGGCCTGCGACGTCTCGTACGGTTCCCTGCGGTACCCGAGAGACCGAACCCTCCGGAGTGGCCGTATAGTGAGGAGACCATGGGAGAAGGAGGAGAAGAATCCGACTGTGTGAGAGCTGAAGGATGCCCCCACTCCGAACGATCATCTGATGTTGAAAAGTAGTACACTCAATTACACGGGAAATATCGTGGTGCATTGCGGCTCGATGGGACCCCTCCTCCTAGGGGAAAAGAGTCTCCACAGGGACAAAGACAGCTTTCCACAAGTTCAAAGCGGACTCCCTCTTCTCCTCGATTGACAGCATAGTACTCACAACCGCTTGAAGTAAATACGGTAGCTAAAATCGAGCCGCAAGCCTCACAGGCCGGCCTTAGCCATAGTCGGCCCTGTGCCAAACACTGTCGAACGGCAGGTCCAGGAACCACCCAAGGTCGGGGATCGGGGTACTTTATATCCGATATGATCCACCCGTTTAGAGTCATGGGCAAGCCGGTGAAGACCAGGGGGAAGTCGTAGCTCTGGGCTAGCTGATCGAGATACCGCAGGGCCAGGTTGAGGACCCCCAAGGGCTCGAACTCAACTTTGAGAGAAGTCCAGTCTACAAGGATGACCATCCAGCCTATTGTAACTGTGGTCGTTGGTCGTTTGAGATGTTGATTGTGGAAGTCACGAAGCGCCGCGAGGAGTGACGCTGCAGAGGGCGTTGTGTAGATGAAAACACCAGTAGTGACTTCGGGCATGGCAAACACCAGGGAACTGTCGAGGATGCAGACCTTCCCGGAGTTGGAGGTCCATCGACGAACAGTCATGACAAGGACATCAAGAATTGCAGTCTTCGACCGGGGGCCGAGGAGGAGGAGGGTCACTGCGCCACCACAGCTGCAACTAGCCGATAGGATGGGCAGTATGCGAGGTCTCTGCCGACGAGCCAATACGCTGGCGAAGAGCTCTCGATCTGGTGGGGGACCGTACGGGCTCATTTCCGTAGGCGTCGAGGGCGAACTGGACTCAGTCATGGCGAGAATGACATATTAAAAACTCCCTGCTTTGGAGGCTCCAAGGGGAGACAGAGAAAATAACTAGAGACCATCGCAACAGTACGGAGTCGGAAATTGAAGTGGTTACTTGCTGATATAACTATCGGATAAATTCATCTTCATGTAAAGGGCTAACATTCATAAGTATACGGTTAACGATCACCAGTTATCATCTCAATACGATAGTAGACATGGTTGCATTCGTAAGGGCAAACCGAGGAAGATTCTTCAACGGTGATGCTGAGGGTGACCACGATGATGAGCAACCACGACCACTCCGTTCTCCACCGGGCTGAGTCCAACCAGGGCGCCGGTATATTGTCCAAGTTGCTGATGCTGAGGCTCAGTGAGAAAAGGAAGGGGTGGAGGATTCCATACGATGGCCTGCCAGGTGGTCTTTGGAACGCTTCTGATTGGCCACACTGATCGTAACCGAGTCGTATCGTGAAGGAGCTGAGGAGTCGTTCTCTGCTATGAAGCCACCGATAGGTTCCTCCTAATGTCACACCGTCGTGCCCCGACTTGCCCCCTCCACTGATCTCCCTTCAGGAGTTCATACAGGATTCTTAGACGGGAGGTTGACCGCTTGAGGCTCGATCAGTCTCGACCTTCGCTCGCCATGAATATCAACGGAAGTTTCTTCTTGATGATGATGAACATCGAGCTA